GGTTGTATTCAGATGTTCCTAGGGAAGCTAAAACTTTCTTTATAACATCTATCCCTTTTTGATGGGGTATGGAAGAGTATAAGGCTTCAACATCAAGGCCTACTAGGAGAGTACCTTCTGGGACTTCGAGATCTTTAATTTGTGATATTAGATGGGGAGTATCTTTTACATATGATGTAAGGGCTTCCACATGTGGACGTAAAAAATGGTCCACATATGTGCTGACATTTTCAGTTAAAGACCCCCGCAACTACATATTATTGGGCGACCTGGTGGATTGAATGCATTTTTATGGACTTTAGGTAGAGCATATATAACTGGAGTTCTTGGATGTAGAATTTTGAGGAAGTTACTGGTGGTTGAGGTTCCAACTAGGAAAAATGCAATACTTGATTTACTAATTTCCAATAATGCAGAGTTAGTTGAAGACATTGCGATTAGGGAGACACTGGGTAATAGTGACCACAATTTGATTACTTTTAATATTGGGTACAGAAAAGAGAAGTGTGTGTGGGTCGGACAAGAACACTAAACTTCAGAAAGACAAACTTTGACAAGCTGCGTCAGCTAGTATGCAACACCAAATGGGACAACTTATTTATCACACTGAACACTGACGAGAAGTGGGATTGTTTTAAGCATACAGTACATATAGCTATTACCAAGTGGATACCATTGGGGATCAAAAATAAAAGATCAAAAACTAAGCCTGCATGGCTAAATAAAACAGTAAAACAACACATCAAGGACAAAGCGTGGCATGTAAAAAATATAAGACGGAAGGGACGGCATTGGCATTTCAGAAGTACAAAGAATGTAATAAAAGATGTAAACACGAAATTCGGGCAGCTAAAATAGACTGTGAAAAGCATATTGCCACAGTCAGTAAGAGGAACCCCCAAAAAATCCTACTAATCTATAAACAGTAAAAAGATAACAAAGGAGCAGATAGGCCCAATAAAGGATGAAAACAGAAGATTAGTCACAAACGACAGGGAGAGGGCCGAGGTGTTGAATTATTTTTTTTCTCCCCAGTATACACAAGAAAAAGAAGGGTTTAATGAAGATAAGAATGTGAGTGGCTCATTGCAAAATATACCACAGTGTTTGACGGTAGCCGGGGTTTAACATAGACTTGAAAAACTTAATGCAAATAAAGCATTAGGACCAGATAACAAGGTACTTAAAAACTCAGGTTATAGCGAGACCATTATCCCTCATTTTCAAGGACTTCTTAATCACTGGTACCAAGTGACTGGCGGAAAGCTACGGTAGTACCGATATTCAAAAAGGGTCAAGATACCAACCTGGGAACTACAGACCAGTTAGTCTAACATCAATAGTATGCAAACTGTTAGAGGGAATGATAAAGGACTACTTAGTAGAGTCTGTTCATGAAAATTGTATAAATGATAACATGGATTTAGGAAGGACCGTTCCTGCTAGACCAACCTACTGACATTCTACGAAGAGGTGAGTAGAGATATGGATAGAGGGAAGCTGGTGGATGTGGTAGATCTGGATTTTTCGAAAGCATTTGACAACGTACCACAAACGCTTACTACACAAGCTGAGGTCTATGGGCATAGATGAAATGGTGAGTACATGGATAGAAAATTGGCTACAGGAACGTGTCCAACGAGTTTCACCTGTATATGGCAGATGAGGTTTAATGTCAATAAATGTAAAGTAATGCACTTTGGGGTTAAAAATAGGCAAGCGGAATACACATTAATGGGAAATCCACTAGGGAAGTCAGAAACGGAAAAGGATCTGTGAGTAATTGTAGACCACAGATTAAATAATAGCTTGCAATGCCAGGCTGCGGTAAACAAAGCGAGCAGAGTACTGTCTTGTATTAAAAATGGAATGTACTGTATAGACAAATCTATAATTTTGCCACTTTATAGATAGCTGGTTCAACCTCATCTGGAGTATGCGGTTCAGTTTTGGTCACCAATCCACAGAAAGGATGTCCTTGGGCTGGAGAGAGTCCCGAGAAGGGCAACTAAACTAAGGGGATGGAGGACCAAAGCTATGAGACAAGGTTACAAAATATAAATATGCTAACGCTGGAGATGCGGAGATTAAGGGGGTACATGATCTTGATGTACAAGATGTTCAGTGGGGATAGGAACATCAGCAATAAACTTTTTACGGTAAACTCCATAACAAGGACTAGAGGCCACCACCTACAATTGGTGGAGAAAAGATTTAACCACAGGGGCGTAGGGGCTTCTTTTCAGTTAGAGCGGTTAGGGTCTGGAACTCTCTGCCACAAGCAGTGGTATCAGCTGATTGCATTTTGAATGATTCAACACTTTTGGACAATTTCCTCAGAGACCGTAACATACAGGGGTACAGGCAGGGCCGGTCTTAGGGGTGTGCGAGCTGTGTGGCCGCACAGGGCACCATGGCAACAAGGGCGCCGTGTGGCCGACACAGCTAGCCCTAGGGGGGGCTTTTCTCCCCCTCACCACTGGCCATCCGATTTGACAGCGCTCCCTCGTCTACCCCCCTCCCCTGGGGGGTGCAGGAGGGAGTGCTGCCTGCTGTCAGGATGGCGGAGCGGTGAGGGGGAGAGAAGCCGCGCCCGCAGCTGTCAGAATGGCCGAGCGGGTAGGAAATCTGAGCCGCTGTCATCCTGTCAGTTTCCGGATGACAACGGCTCTGTGCGTGGCAGAGCGGGGGATCGGTAAATATTGATATTTACTGATCCTCCGTGTGAGAAGGACAAACACTGGAGTGATCGTCTGATCACTCCAGTGTTTGTAAATAACTGGGGACACATAGTACTATGTGTCCCCAGTTATGAATGAACAGGCCTGTTCATTCAGGTATTCCTCAATGGGGAGAAGCAGTCAGTACAGAGGCTCCTCCCCATTCAGAATCAGCTGATTGATGATAGAGAAATATTTACTGTGTCTGAATGAATGGGAAGCCTCTGTACTGAGGCTGCTGAAAAAGAAATTGAGGATTTGGTGTCCTCAATTCTATTTTAGAAGGAAAATGTCAGGGGTCTGTTTGGACCCCTAATGTTTCCCCGAAGCCCCCCTTACAGTAAAAAATAAAAAAATAAAATTATGGAAAAAAATACAAAATTAAAAAAATTATTTAAAAAAAGTGAAAACCGCCCCCCCCCCCAGGTGGCCAATATGGCCCCCATACAGTCTTAAACAAATTACTATGCGCCTGAATATATTTTTCGTGTATTCGGACATATAGTAATTAATTAATTTTACATGTAGTCTAGGTTTTGTGTTCTGTTTTCTATTTTTACTTTTCTAGATGCACTTACTTGAAAAAAGGGATCGTCATGACAACCTGACACTTTATTTTTATATACTCTATTTTAGTTAGACATTTATTGTTTACCTTCTGTTGTTTTATTTAATAAGAATACTTTTATTGTGCCGACAAGTTTATTACATTTGAATAAAAGTTTTATTTGTATCATACTTTTTAATATGTTTCTTTGCGGCTTAACAACATTGGAGTCTTTAAATGGTGCAGATATTGGGGGAAATGGGTGTGGCCACTGAGGGGCGCTGTAAAGCTTTCCCGCACAGGGTGCCTAAAGGCCTAAGGCCGGCCCTGGGTACAGGTACCCTTAAATATCACACGGGGACTCGTACACACGCAAACACATGCAGAATCCAAAACATACACACAATAGGTTGAACTTGATGGACCTGTGTCTTTATTCGGCCTCAAATACTATGTAACTAGCTGTGTCCCGCAGTAAACAAAATAAGAATTTGGTAGCAAAATTCTCTTTTCCTCCAGGTGCAGACAGTGCCTTTTAGTCATTTGCAAAACCCTAATGTGAGCAACTTTTGCATCAGGTTTACCATTTGTTTTTAAAGTGTATCTAAAGCAGGAACTGTAGCATCTGTATCAGAAATTGAGAGGCTATCCTTCCAATGTGAGGGAAATTTTCTCTTGGAAATCTGTCACAGTAGCAAGTGTCCCCATTAGACATTTTCCCTTCTATTCCTGATCTGGTGGAAACTCAAAATTTTGGATGTATCCTAACTTTCATTACCAGTTAAAGTACATTGACATGACATTGGTCATCAGGACAATTAGAGAAGGGACACGGACAGCAATAAAAACCTGACAGATGTTCTTTACCTCACCACTCTTATCCAAATCTAAAAGCTTTTTGCGTTTTAGTAATGCTTTAAAAACAAGGTGATTTTGTCCCCGCCCGAATTGCTTCTTCTCAAGAAAGAATATGTTCAGTTCATCTTTTTCCTCAATTTAGTTGCCCTTTCCTGCACCCTGTCCAGTTCCACAGCATTTTTTTGTAAACTGGTACCCAAAACTGTTCTGCATATTCAAGTTGAGGGTCTACTAATGCTTTGTACAGGGGTGCATTTTCTCTCTTGTGCGATGCAGCTTGTTTTTTATCCCTCAAGTCCATAACATTTTTATCCATATTAAACACCTTTTGTTATGCAGGTGCCCCATCAATGTGTCCAGGTTTGCTCACAAGCCAGCTTGTAGGAAAATATTGTAGGGATTTTATCCCACTGCATGGCCTTGTCATCTGCAAACATAAAAAATGCACTTTTTTATCTAGAACTCTGTATTATTTATCGAGTGCTGGGGATCTCATCTTCCCTCCTGAATCACCTTGAAACCTCCGAGTTTCAGGATCCCAAGCATAATCCTGACAAACCCTTGCTTTCTGAGACGTCTGAGCCCCTCTGGCTGAGAGTCCCAGGCGATCTTAACTCCCAATTCTACAGTGGGATTGCCACACAACATCTATCTCCTATCTATCTCCTATCTATCTATCTCCTATCTATCTATCTCCTATCTATCTATCTCCTATCTATCTATCTCCTATCTATCTATCTATCTATCTATCTATCTATCTATCTATCTATCTCTATATTCCCTGGTTGTGTAACAGCATTTTCTAATGTGAAAGCAGGGATAAATGTAATGTGTATTCCTGATCTAATCTAAACTTTTCTCTTTTAATTGTACAGGTGATGATGATGGTTTTGCCGCTACTGATCTTCGTGCTGCTTCCTAAAGTTGTAAACACTAGTGACCCAGAAATGAGACGGGTAATCGCCATTTTCTATGTAGTTAATTTTGAATTTGAGCACTGGTGGGTTGAACTCTTAACTTCATATTTTCCTTAAACTATACCATGATCTGTTTTCTGTCACTAGCTTGGGTGTTGCCCCTTCCCATAAATTTATAAAAAAGGGTTGACTTACTCATAGTTGCCTTAAGGTTATTGGACCCTAGACAAAGGCTCAGCCACATCTAGTGGATATTCTCATGTACTGAATGGGCTTGTTTTAGCATGCTGTCCTGGGGAGATAGGACATTGTTCTGTGGGATCAAGACGTTTTTGCACACATGTTATAATCCAGGGCTCAAAATTTCCTCTCGCCCCCTCGCATTTTGCGAGGGAAAATTGCGTGGGGGCAAGTGGAAATTAAGCCATTGAGTCAGTCATGGACCGAGGACGGCTTGCCCTCAATGCTGCTGCTCACAGCCGTGCACCTTCCCTTAGTAAAGATGGCTGCCGTCATGCAGCCATCTTTACTGCTGGCGTCATAACTTCCAGTCTGCGCGCGGAGCATTATGGGAGTTGTAGTTTTGCTTTTGCAGAGCAGTGACAGCAGTGCCAAGTGTATCACCCACAGGGTATTCATTCGGTTACTTTTTATTGCTGTCGTGTGTCCCGTGTTCTGTCCCAGTGTTCTATCATTCCATCCGACCCGCAACTTTAATCAGATCCGATAAAGTCATGGGTCTGATGGAATGATAAAACACCGTAACTTCACGGACGTCACAATACAGGGGAAGCCCTGGGGCGGACTGGCAGACCACGGGAGGGGCCCCAGCAGCTTGCTGTGCCGCAGGTCCCCTTCTTGCAGCCTGAGCTGCAATAACTATGCATGGCTTAATCTCAAGTGTCAGGCCCCTGCCAGCAGGTAATTGAGGGGGGCATAGAGATGTGTCTGGGTGCCGTGTGTGTGTAATGTCCTGTGCGTTGTGCTGTGGCTGTGTAATGTCCTGTGCGTTGTGCTGTATGTGTAATGCCCTATGCCTTGTGCTGTGGCTGTATGTGTAATGCTCTGTGCGTTGTGCTGTGGCTGTATGTGTAATGCTCTGTGTGTTGTGCTGTACGTGTAACGCTCTGAGTTGTGCTGTGGCTGTATTTGTAATGTCCTGTGCGTTGTGCTGTGGCTGTATGTGTAATGTCCTGTGCGTTGTGCTGTGGCTGTATGTGCAATGCTCTGTGCGTTGTGCTGTGGCTGTATGTGTAATGCTCTGTGCGTTCTGCGGCTGTATGTGTATTGCTCTGTGCATTGTGCTGTGGCTGTATGTGTAATGGTCTGTGCGTTGTGCTGTGGCTGTATGTGTAATGCTCTGTGCCCAGGTCGTTGTGCTGGTGCGTGTTGTGCCCTGTGTGTGTTTTGTGTTATGCAGGGCAACTGGTGGCGAGTAACTTTTAAGGCCTGGCGAGTAGCTCAGGACCTGAAATTTTGAGCCCTGTTGTAATCTACTAGATTGTAAGCTCTCATGAGCAGGGACCTCCTGTACTGAAATTGTATTGTAAACTGTATTGTCTCCGTCAGTTTTGTAAAGCGATGCGCAAACTGGCGATATATAAATCCTGTATAATAATATAAAGATCCACATTTTAGGCATGAAAATGACTTCAAACCCCTCAGAATGATATATTCTTGAAAGCAGAGACCCTGTAGAATAAAATGGTTGCAAATTTTTATGTCACATTATATCAACTCTTTTATTAAACCCCAATTTTCAGTAAAAATATACACTTTAGTTAAATTGTAGTGCACAAAAACAAAATATACCCAATTTTTTGGTAAAGTATAAAAAAAATACGAGGTTGTACCGAATAAATAGATACCCAACATGCCAAGCTCAAAAAATTTAGTGCGCCCATGAAACTACTAAATATAGTACTCAATTATCCTTAGGCAAAGCTGTAAAAGCCTGTACAAGCCATCAATTTAGAGTTATCAGATCATGCTTGAACAGCTTCACTGTTTACCGGGCCCAGGAAGTGATCAGGTGGCCTTTCAGCTGCCAAAATCACTTCCAATTTAAACCCTGCTTTATGCAGATAGACAAACTCCGGCTGCTGTTTTTACAGGGGCCCACTGGCAGTGAAAGGGTTTAAGGATCCATAGTTCTTTTTTCTCAGTGTCATACCACGCTCCCAAGATTCTGCTATTTACTAAAGCAGTTGTCCTACCTCTCTGCCACACTGCACTTTCTAGATCTTCATTTGTTTTTTTTCTGCCACTTCCAGACAAACTGCTGCAAGGCATCCTCTGCTTTTTCTTAGTACACCGCAAACTGAAACCACACTGCTAGGTGCTTCTAGGCCTTGTGCCTCTGTGAAGCAGATGCCTCCTGAATTCTTGCTAAATGGGTCCGTTAGTAGAGTTCAGAGCATGTGGTCTTGCCTGCCTCATCAGGGGTCTCAGTCACTGCGCATGGTTCACGTATAGTTTCCCTCTCGTCTCTAAGTTAAGCGATTTGGCAGTGAATACAACCTCTTGCCACACAGAGGTCATAGCCTGCTTTAGGCAGTTCTTGAGATTCCAGTGCCTCTATCAATAGTGCAGTGAGACAGCAGGCTTTTTGGAGAGACAAATGCTCTGCTAAAGTCTTCCCAATCATCAACATTTTGATACTGTTACTAGAGAATAGTAACAGCCTGATAAAGATTTCTCTACTACCAAACACTTCTCTACTTATCAATTCCTCTAAGGAACTGGTAAAGTGAAAAGCACTACCATCTGCGGATCCACCAATATCTTGACTTAAAAAATTATCATGTTACCTTTTATAGTTGTCGACACCAAAGAATTGCAGAAATAAAATTGCATGCTTTGTTACAACATATACAACCATCATAAAGAATTTCTGCAGGTTATTTTATTATCATTGGTCAGCCTTACTATTTATGCATACTTATAATATATTTGCTAGTCCTAATGTATTTTTTTGTTATGTTTGTTTAGATAGCTATAGCTACCTTGTTACATACAGTATACTGCAAATAAAAGTTCAATCCGGTTTCGATATCATTGTATAACTCATGGCAATGTTCGTATGCTGTGTTGTTCTGTAATTATTTTTTTTTCTTCTTCTTTTTTTTTTAGAGGGGGGACATATAAGTGTCCAAGTGCTTATGAGTGCATCTGTGGATCCGAGGGAGGTGTGTGTGAATTCCCTGGTTGTGTAACAGCATTTTCTAATGTGAAAGCAGGGATAAATGTAATGTGTATTCCTGATCTAATCTAAACTTTTCTCTTTTAATTGTACAGGTGATGATGATGGTTTTGCCGCTACTGATCTTCGTGCTGCTTCCTAAAGTTGTAAACACTAGTGACCCAGAAATGAGACGGGTAATCGCCATTTTCTATGTAGTTAATTTTGAATTTGAGCACTGGTGGGTTGAACTCTTAACTTCATATTTTCCTTAAACTATACCATGATCTGTTTTCTGTCACTAGCTTGGGTGTTGCCCCTTCCCATAAATTTATAAAAAAGGGTTGACTTACTCATAGTTGCCTTAAGGTTATTGGACCCTAGACAAAGGCTCAGCCACATCTAGTGGATATTCTCATGTACTGAATGGGCTTGTTTTAGCATGCTGTCCTGGGGAGATAGGACATTGTTCTGTGGGATCAAGACGTTTTTGCACACATGTTATAATCCAGGGCTCAAAATTTCCTCTCGCCCCCTCGCATTTTGCGAGGGAAAATTGCGTGGGGGCAAGTGGAAATTAAGCCATTGAGTCAGTCATGGACCGAGGACGGCTTGCCCTCAATGCTGCTGCTCACAGCCGTGCACCTTCCCTTAGTAAAGATGGCTGCCGTCATGCAGCCATCTTTACTGCTGGCGTCATAACTTCCAGTCTGCGCGCGGAGCATTATGGGAGTTGTAGTTTTGCTTTTGCAGAGCAGTGACAGCAGTGCCAAGTGTATCACCCACAGGGTATTCATTCGGTTACTTTTTATTGCTGTCGTGTGTCCCGTGTTCTGTCCCAGTGTTCTATCATTCCATCCGACCCGCAACTTTAATCAGATCCGATAAAGTCATGGGTCTGATGGAATGATAAAACACCGTAACTTCACGGACGTCACAATACAGGGGAAGCCCTGGGGCGGACTGGCAGACCACGGGAGGGGCCCCAGCAGCTTGCTGTGCCGCAGGTCCCCTTCTTGCAGCCTGAGCTGCAATAACTATGCATGGCTTAATCTCAAGTGTCAGGCCCCTGCCAGCAGGTAATTGAGGGGGGCATAGAGATGTGTCTGGGTGCCGTGTGTGTGTAATGTCCTGTGCGTTGTGCTGTGGCTGTGTAATGTCCTGTGCGTTGTGCTGTATGTGTAATGCCCTATGCCTTGTGCTGTGGCTGTATGTGTAATGCTCTGTGCGTTGTGCTGTGGCTGTATGTGTAATGCTCTGTGTGTTGTGCTGTACGTGTAACGCTCTGAGTTGTGCTGTGGCTGTATTTGTAATGTCCTGTGCGTTGTGCTGTGGCTGTATGTGTAATGTCCTGTGCGTTGTGCTGTGGCTGTATGTGCAATGCTCTGTGCGTTGTGCTGTGGCTGTATGTGTAATGCTCTGTGCGTTCTGCGGCTGTATGTGTATTGCTCTGTGCATTGTGCTGTGGCTGTATGTGTAATGGTCTGTGCGTTGTGCTGTGGCTGTATGTGTAATGCTCTGTGCCCAGGTCGTTGTGCTGGTGCGTGTTGTGCCCTGTGTGTGTTTTGTGTTATGCAGGGCAACTGGTGGCGAGTAACTTTTAAGGCCTGGCGAGTAGCTCAGGACCTGAAATTTTGAGCCCTGTTGTAATCTACTAGATTGTAAGCTCTCATGAGCAGGGACCTCCTGTACTGAAATTGTATTGTAAACTGTATTGTCTCCGTCAGTTTTGTAAAGCGATGCGCAAACTGGCGATATATAAATCCTGTATAATAATATAAAGATCCACATTTTAGGCATGAAAATGACTTCAAACCCCTCAGAATGATATATTCTTGAAAGCAGAGACCCTGTAGAA